TGTAACATGCAAATAAGTGAAAACTTTGGACTGTCTGAATGGCCACGTGTTTGTCTACTGTTTCGTTCATATATTATACATGAACAATTTTAGAATACTTAGTCCGATGTTCAGCTTATTCATAGCAAGAAAATATTACACTATTGTTTTCTGTTTAGAATGATTGGTTCTGTAGCTTTGATTACTGACCACAGATGAAAATTTGTATGGAATTCAATAAAATGTAGTGAGCAATATATAGCTAGGTGTGAAACATGGCCTTCAGAAATGGAGAATGTTTGTGGGTTACAAGTATTCAATCATGGGTGTCTTTGAATCATTGCTAGTATGTTTATGGAGTATGGAGTTGAGAATACGGAGACTGGACATAGAGTACTAGACAACTATGGTAAGTCAGTTGACGAGGTAGTAAACCTTTATCAATTGAGATGGTTTGGATGTGTATTACGTATACCCATCCTCCGACCACCTCGATATGTGATGATGGCTGATATAGATGTAGATTAGAAGGAAGCTAAAGACGGCCATAATAAAACATGCCATCAATCCATGAAGACACTGACTTATGGACTGAGCCATGTAAGCGGGTGCAGTTTACCATGTAACGAATGTTTGGAGATCTTGAAATGGATGACCTAAAATCATTCGCAATGACGCATTAGATTTCACTCATTGTCCTCTCTCAGATCCTATGTTTCTGAATTCCTCATAAATTTCTTCTATTTGTTCATTAGTTTGTGTTTTCTTCCTGAACTGTTTCTTGAATGGTTAATGTTTTTGTTACTACTGATCATGTTACAACGTCTAGTACTCTGAAATCTTACCTAATATTTCCATCTCACTGTGCTAATGAGGTATGGCAACTTGAATCAATGTACACGTATGTCAAGTTTTATGTCACATTTACCTGACTGACTGACTGACTGTTTAATCAAGATGTGATTTATGAACAGAATTTAGTTGTTGACATCAAATATAATACCTGATGAACCAATGATTTAGGAAACATTTTCGTTTAAATTTTCTGTAAGTGTAACAAATGATATGATCTATGATGGGTTTGCGGTTTCGATCTCCATGAAACTTTAACCGTGCTTAAAATTGCATAGTGAATCTGACGTTACTGTAAGGATGATTTATTTCACTCGTATATTATCTATGATAAATAATCTATCCTGTGGACTCAGTGTTTTGCAAATGGAATGCGAATTAATCTGAAATTAATCTGACAATCGGCGGCCTGCTTGAATACCTGGGCTACCTGTTTCTGCCATCTAAATATTTCAACAAGTTATATGGGTTTTTTTAAATTTGTTTTAACCTATCATTATGTCTTTTAATCGCATAACCTATACAGGCGCGTTTGTAAAAAGCTTACGTCCTTTCGCTGCAAAAATTACAAACAAGTACACTAAGAGACTTCATGGTGGTTGGCAATATGCTTTAAAGAGACTAAACATCAATCAAATGTCGATTGCCGAGCTACCTAACTCTAACTGTCGATCACTAATTAACAAGGTGGACTATCTCCGATTTCTGCTAAGTCAAAACATGTATCGTAATTGTGGTGTCATCACAATTCAAGAATCTTGGTTAACTGACTTACAGGATGATTGCTTAGTATCATTACGTGATTTTAATATCTATCGTCAGGATCGATCAAACAATAAAAAGATTTGTGGTGGCGGAGTAGCTACTTTTGTAAACGTTAACTGGTGTCGATCTACATTTGCCTGTTTCAAGTTTTCAAACGACTTTATTGACTGTCTAACTTTAAGGTGCCGTCCAAAACACCTGAATAAATACAAATATATTTATGTTACCAATATCTACATGACTCCAGACTGCACATCATCTGCGCTATCTGTCTTCACTGATAAATTTACTGAATTTGCTGTTACTGCCTTCAGTGATTCACTCTCAACTGTATGTGGTGATTTCAATTCATGTGACTGTAGCTTCCTTACATCACTAGGTCACCTAAATGTAGTAGATTTTCCTACTCGTTTGAATGCTCATCTAGATTTGGTTTTCATTAATGATGTGGGTACATATGTGACTCGCAAACGTGCTCCATTGTCTAGTTCGGATCACTGTATAATTCGTGTCCTACCTAAAGTATATGGTAAACATGGAAAGAGTACACACATACACCATACCAAAAAAGTAATATATAGGAGTTACTCAGAAGAAAATTTACAAAATCTGAAAAACATGTTTCGTACGACCAACTGGGAAGTACTTACAGATGACTCAATAGAAAACACAACGGATGTCTTATCTTAAATTCTGTTTTGATATTTGCTGTCCTACCGAAACCTTCTTTTTAAGTTTTGATCAACTTACATCTCCACAACTAAAACGACTACGGAGGGTAAAAGAAAGGATGTACAAGGAGAAAAACACTATTGAAGTTCGTAAGTTAAATGATCAAATAAACCAAGAGATTAGACGTCTCAACTCTGTGTTTACTCAAAAACTCCCATATTGTAAAAGCTCTCCAAGTATGTGGAAACTCTTTAAAGAAATTACAGGGGACAGGCAGACCAGAAGCGATAACCAGCTAAATGTTTGTGACTTAAATAAGTCCTTTATTCGTCAGTCATCTGACATCATGCTCCCTATATCCAAGGGTTTGAAGAATAATTGTGTCTTCAGTTTCACTGAAAATGATGTCCGGAAATGTCTCCAGTCTCTGAATTCATCCCAATGTTTAGGACCTGATGATATTCCAAACCTCCTTTTTTAAAAATGTGCTGATGTTTTATGTTATCCATTAACGAATATCTTTAACAGATCCTTCTCATCTAATGTCTTACCGAAAATGTGGAGAAAGATAAAGGTAATCCCTATACCTATACCCATAGCAATAACCTCACCTTTCCTCAAAATAATGGGAAAATTACTGATACAACCACTTCAACCCGCAATAAAAGAGCACTGTGATCCATTTCAGTTTGCTTACAAATGCAAAAGAAGCACATTAGATGCCATTGCTGTTCTGCATCACAATATAGTGTTCGGGTTGGAAAAGGGTAAGAAGTATGTTAGATGCGCTTTCCTGGACTTTACTTCTGCTTTTGATTCTATTCCAAGACACCTCTTACCTAACAAGCTGATCAGTATAGACACAGAGTTGGATAACCAATTGGCTACGTTCCTACCTTTCCGGAAGAGAACAGTACACTGTATTTGAAGGAAAGTGTTCAACATCTCTATTGTCTACTGTAGGTGTGCCACAAGGAGCTGTTCTTTCACCTCTACTCTTCTCTTTTTTTCTGCATGATCTGCCATCTTCCACAGAAAACACTTTTGTAAAATATGCGGACGACCTCACTGTAGGTATGCCAATTTCTACCTCCTTACATCCCATAGAAATGAATGAGTTTTTATCTCGTATTGAAAGGTGGTCTGTTGGTAATGGTCTCTTACTCAATCCATCTAAATGTCAAGCTGTTAACTTTAGCTTGAGACATGGACAGAACCTATACTCTATGTTGGGATCCCATAATGCTTGTGCCATTGGAGACTCCTTAATAAACACAGTGTCGAAGGTCGAATATCTTGGTGTTACTTTTTCCTCTGATCTTTCTTGGTCTTCTCATGTTTTACTGTTATCGAAAAAAGTTTACCGTTTGACATACTAGATAAAGAGGCTGCATGCTTTTGGGATTACTCGCCATTTACTCTTACAATTTGTAAATTCCTGCATATTACCTATTATTCTATATTGTTCTCCATTATTTTTCCCGGGCTTTTGAGAAAAGACTTTGCTATTTTGCGTAGAGTGCTGAAGGCAGTTTGCAAGGTATGTGGTGAATCTTTTGAAGTCATTGTTAATATGCTTGTGGATAGACATCTTAAGTCTTGCAAACTCTTGGCAGGTGTTATCTTATCAGATACTAACCATCCGCTTCATTCATATCTTTCTTCTTGTATATATTCTGGTAGAACGAGACGTAAATACATAAAAATCCATGCACACAAGCAAATCTATAAAAGTTCTGTAATACCTTACCTTGCGAATTTACTTAGTGACGAACAGGCTGTTAGAGTTGACCTAGTAAATAACCTGTATTCTTAAGCATGTCTCAAATTCGATAATTTGTATAAACTCAGATTCTCCTAAACCTTTTTTTATTTCTGTTTTTTTTGTTTGTTTCGTTTCTTTTTTCGTAAAACAAACTTGTTGAAATAACTCATGCTGAGAATTCTATATTGTACCAGATTATAATATTGAATAAAGCCATTAATAATAATAGTAATAATAATAATAATAATAAATGGTGAATATTTAGTAAGTTGTCTGCGTCACAGGTTAGCATCACTGAAAGTACCACTTTAAAAGCACAGAGCACCGGACAACTGATTTGTCGTAATATGAAATACCTCACATGTGAGCATCTATGACACCAATAAAAGTGTTTAACATCAAGACTGACGAACCACAACTTCATTATCTACATTTTCAACTTCGTTAATGTTGTCTGTTGATACGGTGTACACAAAATGAATAAGGAAATAGGTAAATGATAGTCATAATATCGACTATGTTTAACTCACAGAGCATGCATCACGAAAGTCTGGACATTCAATCCAATCATATCTAGTGTTTTCTAAAGCTGTTTTAATAATACCACCCTGTCTTGGACATTCACGCCATTCTCTGCGGAAGTAAACTAGATGTTCGAATCTAAGAGTACACTTCACCTTGAAATCCAAAATAAATCAACGTTGTCTGATGAATAAGTTAGTGATGCGAACTAATGTCAGCTGGTGAAATAAATACCAATGATGATCAATAATTTCTTTTGTTCAACAAAATGCAATGGTTGTATTATTTCGGTAAAGCTTGGATAAGATGTACGTTCATATTATTTTGTATTTGAAAATGATAACATTAGAGTTGTTTTTCATTGAACGATGATATCAAGTAAATCCCATATGATTAGGATGTAACTGTTTTAACTATTGCTTTCAACAATGATTTACTATAGGGCATCTCAAAATGCAAAAACATAATGGGTCGATGGTGTAGAAACTCAACATAACTTGTTGTTTAGAAACCATGGGCTTGAAATAATTCCATAGTGTTCTACATAGTCAGTAATTTAAAAATACTTGAGAATATCTCTGATGAAGTATGAATAAAATCAGTGACTTTTGACAGTGCTTTCATGATGGGTTCCAATCTAGTTACTCTTTCATCATTGTTTTGTCTGAGAATTTTTGAGTATTCAGTAAAATATATTAACTGAAGCTAAATTTTTTATTTAATTGTTTTTCAATTGGTCACAACTGCTTATCTATATGAACTGAGTAAACCTAACAATATAATGTTACGAAGTAGTTTGATTGATTACATATACTAGTTATATTAAAGAAGATTTCAATTGACAAAACCGTGTTTGTTAAATATGGTTCTAGCCAAATTATGACTTCAAATTTATTAACTGTGATAAAATGTAAGATTTCGTTGAATGTAACCGTTTTGCATCGAACAAATAATTTAGCCTTCAAAGATTGAAACATGACTAATAGCCATGTCAGCATGAATAATTGCATCTTCTGTTTTCAATGAGATATTAAGAAGCTCAAAGAAGACAAAGTATTCAATTAAAGTATGTTTGTGTTAATTATTTTGACTATTTATTCCCAAGTTTCCTTGTCTACTAGCGTGGCAATCATATCCTCTATAAACCAGATTGTCCACCAATATCATTGAGTTACTCACTTTATTTGTAGATTAATAAGTCAGTAAATCATGTGTAGAAGGTGTAATATTCTACATTGGTCTCTGAGTGTGTCGCGAAATATTAAATAGATTTTTAATTGTATTCTATAATTTGTGACCATTGTGGGCTCTCGTCGAAAACAACACCCTAAATTGAGCACTCATAATCATAAAACAGCAATCAATCTCCTAAGTTTTGAACAATATATATATATATATATATATATATATATATATATAACTTACTTGAAAACAACCTGAGAATGACCAGCTGCGGTTTCCACTCATATAGGTTGTTCCATAATTGAAACATCGTGACTTCTTTCCATAATATTGACTATCGCTATGTACGTCTGCAGTGTAAGATAAAGACAAAAATTCAATCTCCTTCTCATGTAAGCTGATAGTAAACGTTTTAGGTGGAACAGTCCACTATCCACTTTTGGTACGTGGGTCAATATATAAAGAGACAAATTCATTATAACTCAGTGAATGACAGGAAGAATTAAAAGTTTAAACATAGTTAACAACTCTTGGTCGGCCACTAATTGATCTTATAGATACTGAAATGTTATACGTTAATTAGTTTAATATTCTGCATACTAATTGGTGGCCAGTTTTCAGTGTTCCATAAATCAAACCGTAATGAATGTTTTCATGATAGTTCCGTTTTTATTATATCATTGTATGTAGATCAATAACATTAGGTATCGTTATAATTTGTTGCATATTTCTTTTAAATATGACATGATTCAATCTAGATAAATGTTATTGTCGAATTATATTGTTAAACGGTATACTCCTCTACTTCATGGTAATAAGTAGTGTGATGATAGTTGAGTGTATTCGTTGTAAGCAGTTGGCATAACGTGAACTTACCTTGGTACTTCCGATTATTAATATCTCCACAGTGAGAATTCATTGTTGTACTCATAACATTATTGAACATCTGAAGAGAATATTTACAGAACGATGAATTATTATAATGTATTATGTGCTAAAGTTCATTTCATTGATCATCCAACAAGCACTTTATAAATAAATTAGGTGATTTGTTTCCATGCAATATATATTACTAGCATTCAAACTTTTAAAACATAGCTTTGGGTTCATAAAATATCAAGTAGAACACCGTGGTCCTAATCAGAATATAATATTATTTGGACTGTAGGGAATGTAATATGTTTGAAGTTATTCCCATAAAACTGAAACATACATCGGTTTATTCTCCATAAGTGTCTTCATGTCCAAGTCATCATACGCAAGCTCTTTTAAAACACAGTTCGGATTAAACCCTTATTCTACAAATTATTTTTGCAACCTAAATGAAGGTCAAACCTACCTCAATTGTTCAATAGTCTATGAATAACGGTCGCAACACAATCTCATCAGTATATGTCAATTATAAGGCATCTCAACAAGTGTATAATAGGTTTATTCTAAACACTGTATATAGCCTTCGTAGTCGAACAATATTAGTGCTCAATTTAAAACTGTATACTCAAACATTAGCAATGTGTTCGACTATTTATTCCTACTTTGTGTTAAGAGAGTAATTCTTTCAGGAGTTGCCAATAATTATCTGTCCACAGAATACTTATTCATACTCCCCAATGGCATTGTGAACTAGATTTACATAGGAGTATCAATGAATTCATATATAGTTGAGTATTGTATTCTGAAGTGAACTGCATTCAGGTTGATTATCACAAGTGTAACAATGCGTATCTTTCGCAATTAATGGCTTAGAATTTGAGAAACGATCACTCAAAATCTTTTAGGGAAACTATCGTTTATTATTCTTTTTAGGATTTAATTTTCTCAGAAAAATCTTCGATTGATTCTGTTTAACGCAGGTTAGTGAATATTACGTTTTCTTTGTTAATCGTTTGAATGCAGACTAAAAAACAAGAATCAGTGCATTGTAACCAGTTTATTTTTAATTCAAAACTTGGTTTATTGATTGAAATTTGTGACTATATAAAGCTAGACTTACATGCATATATGGACAGTAATCAGCATGAATATCAAATCCTCCAAATCTATTTTGTCTCGAAGGCTCTACATCGGGTAGGTTATTGAAGTGTGTATGCTCTGGTTTTAGAGTGTGACCGACATCCACTAAATTGCATACCCCGTATGCATTTATATGAGGAATGCACCGAATACCAGAATTTTTAGTAATTGGTTCATTACACCAAGGTGATGCAGTCTTTTGTCTGTAAATAAAAACAAATCAGATAATCGGTGCAATTAAATGAAAAGTGACAAATCCCAATTCATTATTCTGTTAAATTGGTTGGTGAACAACGTCATCATTGATTATATATATTGTACCACATATTTGAATCTCCAATGATGGACTAATCTGTCAACTTGAATAAAAACAGACCAAAATTGATTCTAATGATAATATGAAAGTAGTGAAGTTCAACCGTGTTCGTATGAGGCAGTCAATCACCGAAGACAATCGAAGATAATCGCGCAATATCCTGTAATGGTTTGAAGTGAGGCATGAATGCCGTTTGGTGTCAGTTCAGCGGTATGAAGATTAAGCGTTCGCGCGCGAAAACGAATGCCTGTGTTTGAGTCCCACATGAAGAATCCTGGATACCCACTGGTGAGGCGTTTCATAGAAGGACGAAATGACTGTCTATTATTCCCATGTTTTCAAAGATGGTTGAACATTGATTGGTTCATTATCTCAATGAAATGCAACAGCTGTTTGGTATGCACGTGAATTAATGACAGTAGATATTTCAATGAGAATGTGTTTACCACGAAACGCGTTGTCTGTGAAATAAGAAAGTGTGAATTTACTGACCAGTCATTTCACAAGTGAGTATCACTGGAGAATTATATTTGTTAAAATATCTAGAACGTAATTAAGCTATAATTCAGAGCAAAGTTTTCTGATAGATTTTAGTTATTTTCTGTTTAATCACCATTATTTGCACTATTCGTCATGTTTCATGACACCGAGGCCATTTGCTATTTACATTTGTTTAAAACAACTAAGAATTTTGTGAACTAAGCTGATGACTCGCAACTCTGAATTCAACTACAGACAAAAGACTGCTTCCTATTGTCAATTACTTCGCTCACTAACCAGAGTTAAATATCCACACTTATATAGAATGGCAATTGATACTGACTTAAAAATATCAATTCACGTTGTAAATTATACCATTTATTACAAGCTACATTCAGCTTTTGCCAGTTAATCATATAACGACAGAAATAAATATATTTTCTTGTTTCTACTATGTGCTTTTGTGACAAGATAACATAACTGTCTGCCCAGATTTTACAGCAATCAGACCATATATTCGATTGATATGATCTATACAGAATGATCATGTTATACCATATACCCCATTCATGGCTATTAAAATAAAATCAGAGTGTACACTTCAAATACTTTAATCAACAGAATTACGTGTTGTTATACTGAGTCAGTCCAGAATAGAAATCAATAGTAGGAAGGAAATTACAAGTTAAATGGTCAATATAAGTGTCTGCCAGTTCATGCTCAGTGACCAGTCATATTTACTTTCACGAGACGCATATGGGTAAAGGATATGGCTAGGTTTTAGGGATTTTATTTCGAGATTTTACGGCCATAACGATTCATGTAGAAAACAATTAGATTGTTTATATTCTTTTCAACCATAGATTAATTAATCTGATTCATCAACGACCTTGATCTTTGAAATACTTTGTGGATTTGATAGTTTACTATTTACTAAATATATCAAATCTGTGTTTACAACCGTGTTTTGAATGAAAGGTAGTTGTAAAACGTCTGTCTAACTAATACCAACAAAACAAAGTACAAATGACAAGAAATATATGCTTGTGATTGCGATAGATATTAAGTAATTATGTGTTTAATATACCTCGACAGGTGATTGATGATAACGATTGTAAGTTAAGTGTCTGTTTAACAAACCTAGGCAGTCAAAATTCAGCTTACATTAAAAAAGGAAAATGTGGTATATCAATTTTTATCTATATTCTTGCCTTTTAATGAATCGACCACAACTTTCGAAAATAAATTCACAACCTTGATTACGACCCCAATCCCATGGTTCAGCCATAGACATATTTACATCATACCATCTGAAAGATGAAGAGTTAACAAATATCATCATCATCATTATATTTTAAAATGAAGATCTACTGACCGTTCGGAGGATTTACTTATAAGAATTGACGATTATCACCTTACAATCAATAACCTTAATTGGTTCAATTTATAAACTAAAATAATATAGTAAACGGACTAAACTGGTATAGCAATCAAACTAAATAAGACAAATTAACTAATCAGACACAATTAATAAAAACTAAATCCTTTTTTTCATTGTTGTAATTTTCTGTGCAATCTACTAGGACTATATGAGTACTCGAAGGATGTGTAAAATGAAAGTAGCGAATTTAATGAAAAGGTTATCACGAAGTTAAACAGTACAATAATGTTATGCCTGATTTGAGGCACAGACATTCTGAGAATTTCATTCTCAGGAATCGTTCAATGGAATAGTTTGTAGGATTAGCAGACTCTAAGAATACAGATGATTATGAATGAATACACTCAGTCGACCAGACATCGGCCATGTGATATGTTAGAGTTTCTGACAGGTGCAACCTATGGGTCCTCGCTCGACTATAGAAGAAGACCGATACACACTGTTGGTCGGGAACCTGTTTTAATGTTCCAAGGGCAATAGACACATATGTATGGGAAGTTATCCATACACTTACAATTAGAGTTTAGTTAATAGAGCTTCCTGACAACTATCAGCTTTCTCACACAATTAGCGGAACGAGGTCACGAATAGGAAGCTCGTATAACAAAAGTTTGAAACTACTGCTTTTAAATTATCACAGTCTTAAGCTTATAGATACATTGTGAGAAAATATAACAAAATTTTCACCATGGATACACATATTCACACATTCAATAACACTCTATTTTGAAATTTACCCAGTATCTTTGAAGAAGCTGAGAGTTAAACCAGAAACAGACGCCATGATGTCGACTTTAGGAGACATCACTTCACCCTGAAAATTAAAACACAGAAATAACGTTGAAATGATCATTCAAGAGAATATTTATGACTTGATAGTTGTTGAATTTACTGTAAACTTACGATTGACAGACGTCGTTCGAAGTGTGAAAGTCGAGATCCACCGTGACCGTCCGATTCTAGATCAACCGCATCAAGCTCATTGCATCGAAAATGATTTCTAGCAAAGTTCTGTTTGAAGGAACAGAAAATAAAAAGAAACATCTAGATCCTTTTCTCAATTTCAAATATTCATCAACGGAGTACACTTTTCAGGTTATTTGTAGTCAACGAAACTACTGCAATTTAAAGAAACATATAAATTTGTGTTAAAATGGAAGGGCTTTTAAGATAATTACGTAGTAATGACTGTTAGGTTCAACTGTTTATTAACGTTTCATGAGAGTCATGCTGAAGTGTCAATGTCCCTGTAAATACAGTACAAATGCCAGTACAGATAATTTTTAGACAGCTTTGAATAGGTGGACGAAGGATGGCTGGCGATAATTTGTTAAAATTGGAAAAAGGTTTTAAAAGTATAGACTGGTGGTCGTTTGTCTTCTGTACTTCCTCCTCGTTCAGGGCAAGTTAGTATTGAGCGAACCACCAAGCACTGACTATCAGTTTCCCTCGTCCTTTCCGCGTCTATGCGTATTAGTCGGCTGTAACGCATGAACGTTCGCATACTCACAATGAAGTGTGCTGATCGGCATAATGATCGAACTCTGTATAAAGTGGACTGACTTGGCACTGCACTGTATGATTTGAAGATTGGCCGTAAATTCTATTGTTTTAGTATACGCTCTTGCTAATATTTGTGTCAAAGTATGATGATAAAATATTCACAAGTATATTGATTTGTCATGATTTTCAGTTAGAACACCTGATTTCCAATCGACAGTTTACGATAGATGTGAAGCTTTTATGATATTAAACCAAACATTCATTGATAACAACCATCTAATTAAGGCAATAGTGAACAAACAAATCACTTTAACGAACATTTTCTCTCTTCATATGCCAATAAAACAAGTTCTTGGAGTAAAACACGATAAAACATCACAGAATCAGTGAAATATGCATAAAGTCAATGATGTACTTACGACTACACTCCGTAATGTTAATCCGACTCTCTGGTACGTCTGGTCACTGGAGACGGTACGCCATTTCCTGGACACGTATTGTATAGTATTTCTGAAAACAAGGTTCCAATAAGTAAACTGATACTGTAACGTTTGAAATGTATTTTAAAAGCTCGGTCATTTTATTTGGTATGTGAATAGTATTAAGGTGATGAAGAGTTATATTGCTTGTATAGACTCTGCCTGTCTTGACCCGAACATATGAACTGAAATTCTCACGTTCCAATGGGTATTTGGCTTTTAATACTGTGCTTGGTAAATGAGACCAGTCCCAGTACAATGTAGGGAATTCAATGGGAAATTAGCATTCCTTGATTCATTCATCGTCGTTCATAATGGAGTCGATTTGTTGCCAAAGTACAATCGATGATCCAGTTAATGATTGAATTAGCTGCTTCATGCCAGTAATTTGCGATGGAATACTTATCTACTCGGTAAGCGAACTGATCAACTTAAAAAGTTAAACATGATTTGAGGAAACTGGAAGATTTTTGATAATTGTGTGAAAAATGTTCTATAAGTTGAATTCGAGAAAGAATTTGAAACTCCATCGCTTTACGTAATTTAAATAAAACAGTGTTGTGTTAACGCATGAAGCCAAGACAGGGAGTCCAGTATTGTTTTAAATGTTCCTTACCGATCAGCTTTTAAACCTTCGTTGACATGTTTTGGCAATTTCGGTTCACCAGTTTGTGGGTTACGCCTTGTTCTGGGACTACCATCATCATAACGTAGGTAAGGAAACAACCAATAATCAAAGCCCTGTTCAATAAAATAATATTTTATCGTTTGTTACAATCATTTGAAGACTGATCAACAATACTCTCAAGCATCAATGGGAAGATCCAAACAACTATTATATATGGATTAAAGCAATACAGTTTTATCAACAAGTCATTACTGTTAAAGTTGGTAATTTTTTTATTGTTCTATTGTGATTATAGTCTGAATGATATTAATATCATTTTCTTTATTGTCACCTTTATACTTGTTTAATTGTATTATTGTGTTTTAATATAATATAATGGAAATTTTTCAGCGATCAGGAACTTATTTAATTATAGATTCTGTCAACTAAATACTTACTGAACTATTGTTCATTGACAATTTATATTGACTTTCCAGGTTTCTAATCATAAAGGCGACTTATCTTCAGAAAGTAATGATAATTTATTAATACTGTTGCATTGCGCACATTGTGTAGTGAATTCAATAGTCATCGTTACAAAAGATGAATGCAAGAATAAATGAACTGTGTAATTAATGGTTGTTTCACTCACGAATGTATGTCCTAATTCATGAATAATTATTCGTTTCAATTCTCCTGGATTGGAATCAAGATATTTCATCGCTGAGCAAATTACAATCGAACCTGCGATCGGTCTTGTTTATAAAAAGTAATACAGTTGCAATTATTAGGCACAGAATAATGTAAAGAATATGTCGTGTAAATCGTAGTAACTGACAAGCTTTTGACCCATTGAAAAGTTAACGGATTTGAAGTAACTACGGTAACAACGAAAGCTACTGTATCACAAAGCAGTGGTAATTTACAATGAAAATTCAGAAAGAAGATGCACCAACCTATAAATGTTGACGGAAATAGTGTTTTAAAAACGGGCAGATTTTTGTCATTTGATTGGTGGATTCCTCTATTTTTTTCTATATATCTAATGCAACTGTATAATAGTGGATCAGAAAAATATAACTGTTCCCAGTTTTTATGTCTAATCATGATAACACCTCACCACCAGATTGAGTAACCACATCACATTACTGTACGCGGTCTTCGGCGGACCGTTCAAAAGTTTTAACTCAGGACAACTCTGGAATCTCGAATGTTTGGCATGATTTCCCTCAAATGCTAACCACATTTATAGAAGTGTTTCCTGTTGCACGAAATCGAGCCATACTTTTTAAATTTCCATCGACACTGACGATCATGAACTAGTTTAATTTTGTTGATTTGCATGTTATCTGAATTACGTTGGGTTTTGAGAGGTAGTGACGTAATCATTGCACTTGTTGGTTATGTTTGACAACGATTTGTCCGTATTGTTAGTGGACAATTAAGAAGTTATGCTACTTGAATGATATGAAAAAAACAAATTCAAGAACATCTGTGTAGCTCAAATTCGGATAAGTTAATTTCGGTATTAGATTTAAACCTAATGCAAACAATAATTTTCATAGACTAACTGATCTGTTGCTTACCTATCGGTGTCCAAATCCTTCTCACAAGTGTCAGCTGTAGCCATTGTGCTTTCAGATATGCAAGCATTATGCGAACGAACAAAGAGAACAAAGTCAATGTTGCCTCGCTTTTTGACTACGGTTTTACTCACAACATCTTTTTCAGATGAACGACATTTCTATAGAGTCGGAACATGAGAAAGGTTTGCATAAAATTGTCAGAGAACAAGACATATAAAATTTGTAATCGAAATGTCTTAAGCTACTTCTGTTGCCGAAACTGATCCAATTACTGGAAATCAGTGTTTGTTTTTCTAATGATGGATTTCATAGTACATAGGAAATCCAAATAACCGAGTTAATATACCGAATAACAACATGACTGCTGAAGCTTCACTTCCTCAGCCAGTGTCGATTGATAGAATCTAAATTTGTAAACAAATCTCTGTAACTCGACCATGTTTAAGAATTAGAACATTTTGTTTTTGTGTTAAGAATGATATTCCATCATGAGACACTGTGTGTATCTCTCAGAGCTTCTTCAACTTTTGAAACAATCGTTAACTCCTTCGCATTGTTACGAAGAAAAAAATATTCAGAGTGATGGTGAAAACGATACAGTGTCTTGCATGCTCACAGCCCGGTAAAAATGAAATGTAGTGGAAAAATTAACCACATCGAAATGAATTTGCGACAAGATTGATAGCTGACTAGTTTTATAGTTCGGTTTTTTATCACTATGATGCAGCGAGATTTCCTAGCGTACGTGTTTGAAAGGAAACATTTCACCGCATAAAATTCACAACACTCGGTTATAAATCTTACTCGCTGCTACTCGATACCAACTGTAATCACTTTCCTGTTAATCCATATGTAGCGTCTAGTAATCCTGTTATGGTATATGCTAACTATAAGTAGTATGTAGCAGCAATCGAAAGTGGAATGTCTGCCAGCATAAGATTGAATTGAAGAGAACAGGAAGGCAAACAGATAGCAATGTAATGGCAACAGAATTTAAAAAATCACAGGGCATGTAAAAGACAACTGAAGGAAGATGCGCAAATAATGTATTTAATGTATGGTTTGCTTATTTCACTAGGGCTCTGTGTAAGCAATAAGTAAATTCACTACATCTGAGTTTACTCTAACTACATTGTAATGTTTTGGGAATAATGTAGATCTAAACGACAAAAATTCAATCATTTCAACTGGGCAACTGACCTGAAGATACTTCTCTGGGATTTCAAAACCGTTACATATTGACACGTTATTACAACCACCTTCACAGTAATGATAACGTGGCCGCATCAGTGATCGAACTCGATTATCGCAATTGCTTATTTGTTATTATTTATTTAAACACATATATATTGGTACAAAAGGGCACCAGGTACATATGCGCCACACAAAATAATGAAAGTAGGTAGATAAAGGATGAAAAGATAAGGCGGGCTGAAATGTACAACCAGAAGATTCTTTCAGTTAGGAAAGTTAGAACCATTCTTTATGTAGAAAGTAAAAGAAGGTTGCAGCAGGATCGCCACTGGCTTCTATTCTGAGCCATATCTGATAACGTCTCTAGCCACTGTGTTGCACCATCTCTCGGACCCCAACCAAGGAGTCATGAAGGACCAACAAAAGCTAGCCCTTTGCAGCTCTCTTTCATGCCACGACACCATGTCATACACTGACCTCCTCTCCGCTTTCTCCAACCAGTCCCAGGGTCGGCAAATAATGCACGACGTGGAAGTCTCTGGGACGACATTCGTAAAACATGTCCAAGCCACCGAAGTCGGTGTTTCAAGATGGTGACACCAATTGAATTATCGTCTCTGCGCCCGAACACACGATGCCAAACCTCTGCATTACTAACATGGTGTTGCCACTGGATGTCAGCAATCCTTCGGAGACAACGATGATCGAACACAGAGAGACGTCTAACATCCTCAAGTCGGAGAGGCCAGGTTTCACAAGCATAGAGCAAAACTGCTCTCACCGACGCGTTGTAGATCCGACCTTTTACAGCCAGACTAACATCACGAAGGCGCCAAAGATGGCCTAGATTAGCATAAGCCGCTCTGGCTTTCATTATACGTGCATCAACCTCATCACTCACGCCACCACCAGCACTTATATAGCTACCTAGATACACGAACTTCTCAACTACTTCGATCTCCTCACCATCCAGGGTGAGTACAGGATGAGAATCCTGTCAGTCTTGTAGGAGTACTTTGCACTTGGAGGGTGCAAAGCACATGCCGTACCTGCGGACACTGATTGCCAACTGATTAAGTGCGGATTGCATGCCTTGGGCATTATCGCACAGTAAGACAATATCATCCGCATACTCAAGGTCGAGAAGTCGTTCTCCAGGCAACATATCCACACCGCCATTACTTACATCCATCAGAGCTGTTTCTAGGATGTCGTCGATGGCAAAGTTGAAGAGGAATGGTGAGATCGGGCAACCCTGCCTAACCCCACTGCTCGAATGGAACAAGGGAGAAAGGTGGTTGTATGCCCTCACTCTGCCTGAGGTGTTCGTATACAGGGCCTTTAAGATGTTAATGAACTTCTCAGGCACACCCTTCTTCAATAGACAATCCCAGAGAACAGTCCTGTCCAACGAATCGAAGGCCGCCCTGATATCAAGAAACACTACGATTGTTGGCCTGCGATAAGTATGACGGTGTTCTAACATTTGGCGGAGGGTGAAAATGTGATCAATGCATCCTCGACCAGAACGAAAACCAGCCTGCTCCTCGCGAGTCAATCGTTCTCGGGTTTTAAACAACCTACGAAGAATGATAGAAGCCAATAGTTTGGACGCGATCGAAAGTAGACTTATCCCCCGGTAGTTATTGCAGGAACTACGTAAACCCTTTTTAAAGATAGGGACGACTATTGACTCATTCCAAGATGTTGGAACACTTTCTTGCTCCCAAAGCTTTCCAAACAACGCAGTCAGTTCCTTAGTCATAATTTCATTCATTTGTTTGTGTGTGGCCTGTGATACTACCCGGGTGCCCAAACCGAAGCAGGTGGTTTTCTTAGGGGACCACACCCCGAGCCTTTGACCTAAAGGTCTGATCCACAAGGCAGTGGAGCATCGTGAGGAGATGCAGTCCCATGGTTGCCGTTGACCAACAGCAGGTTCTTCCGCCATTCGTTCCATCAGGATACTGGAGCCCATGTGCACCACTGGTTTGGAATCAGGGTTTTCCAACTCCCCTAGGTGGACCCTCCGTGTCCACCAATCCGGTTATAGCGCCGGACATTCGCTTTTCGTCCTCTCACTTTCGTAAACAACACCCCCGCCACGAGAAGGCAGTGAGTAGGACTTCCCTGTCAGAGGCTATATATTCGCTGGCCATGTGAGAGCATTTCGAGAGGGAAAGTAGACTCTCCCCACTCTCGGCCGTACCAGGGCATTTGGGGGCAATTGCTAGTGCATTCGAAAGGAGATTAAACAACAGGAAAAGAAATGTTTATTTATCGCTCTGAGTACACATCATTGTGTAATGACACATTCAAAAAGTTGACGGATGTCGACCAGGATGTTTTGTCTCAGTGTTTACCACTGAGGTGTCTTCAAAACACAATAAATTTCTAACTTCTCGTTGCTCAAACAATAATAGACACGATCAGCTACCATCCTGATTAACAACCACTCAATTGGCATATCAAGGCTGTTCTCTACTCATACTTAGTTCAATTCTGTCAGAGTTGTTCTCGGAATATCACTTCCTTAGTTTTGGTTTTCACTGATTGGCACTCTTCCTAAAAAATCACTCAACCACTGGATACATGGCGTGAACAAATATCTGTTTAATGAAGGCCCTGACATTATGCAAACAATTCAGAACACATTGATCAGGAAAGAAACAATTACAAGGATGGAATCCTCTTTCAACAGTGAAATTCGTTGCATCAAGACTGGCCTTATTCTATACTCTGACCGATGGTACTCAATGGACTATTTGATTGAGCTGATGACTGATAATTTTCTTGGACGCATTATCATGCCTGATGGATCGTAGGTTGACAAAATATCAGTACGTCTGTCTGTTTACTATGATGAGAGTAATCTGCTCATCGGTGCACTTTGTATTTCTGTATTATTATTATTATTATTATTATTATTATTATTATTATT